CGGTATGACAGATTTCCTAACTCTAAAAGTTGTCAACTTTAACAATTAATATCTCGCTTCGCAGGGCAGAGCGATGATTTTGTCTCAGGAAAAAGTTGTTCCTCGTTGAAAAACGCGTCGATTGAGACCAATTTGAATGATTTTGGAGGTGGAGCAGCTATACTGAAGAAGAAAGAAGAAAAACCATATATTTATTATTTGTATCTTTCTCAGTCTGTATCTCCGAAACTATTCGAGTCCGACCCTTATATATATATATGAAATGACTCGGGAAGACATCCCCAACAACATATTTAAAAATAAAGCAAATCGGAGAGGAGGCCCCTTTTATGCATAATTACCATATTTTCTTAATAATAGTTTTAAGATATACATGTTACTAGTCTTAGAAAAGCTTACCATCTTACCTATACTCGAAGGAAGAATTTATTCTTCTTTGAAGAAAATTATAAAACTTATTGAAGAATTCCGTATGCTTCTTTTAATAAAATCAGAAGAAACAAAATTGTTTTGCTTCAAATAATTCTATGTATTCTTGTTTCAAGTACTAGACTTACTCAGAACCAGAATATGTTTTGAGTAAATATAACACTTGCGACGACATTATGATAGATTTGCGGATAAATAAACTTATCAAATACTTGGAACAAATAATCTTTACTTGCAGGTAGTATATATTTTTCTGTGTGTAGTAAAATACTAACAATTAATTTGATTATTAGTGAAATGTATGGTAAAATTTCAAACAATTCCCATAAAATTCTTTGAAGTGCCACATTGTCCCACGACTACATGATTTTCGGGATTTTTAAGAGAAAATTCTCTCCATGTAGAATATAAAATGATGCGTGTAACGCATCGAGAGCAAATTTATTCTGAACGCAAGAACACACGAGGTTAAATTGTACACGTTTACCCCGCAGTAAGTCAATCTTACTAAATTCGGGAGAGAAGAATAGAAATTATTTATTTCATCTTAATATCGTTTTTTTTTTAATTGGATAATGCGATGGCGAGAAGTTTAAATACGTCTCGTTTTGTTATCGGAAATCCCTTCTGAGGGAGCGGCTCGTCGCACCTGCTCCTTTTCTCTTATCACCGCACGCGGTCCGCGCGACAATTCTCGGAAAATTGAATTATCGTGGAAGGATTTTCCTCATCGCCGTCCGAGATAAAAATCACAAAACTCGGGCTTGCACAAATAATACGACGATTTTCTTGGCCGCGACGCAGCGATATTGTCGTCTTGTTTGTGTGCGACTGTTATTTATTGTAGTCCTGTTCGCGACGGAGTTCGCAGAATAATTCGCTATAGATAAATGGCGTTACGTAACGTCACTTTGGTCGCTAGTTTTTTTTACATTCGCCAAGCACGATTTGGAAGCCGCGGAAATGTTCCGTCGCGTCGCAATCTTAAGCCTAATCTACAATGTGCTTTCCGCGTCTAGAAACCTTCTATTTTATATAAACAAGTCGAAACGCTTAGAAAAATTTGTCATCAATGTACAATTTATCAACTTGCACAAATTTTTTAAACGTATTTATATCGGCTACGAAATAGAATGTCTCGAGACGCAGCGAGCACTTTGTAGATTAGACTTAAAGAAGTCGACTTTGGATCTCTTAAAAACTGCGACGTGGCGCGTTATATCCTTCAGTCTGCACGGGAAAAAAATGCTGTTGAATTAAAAAAAAAGGAAGTTACCTGAATTAACGTCACGGTCTGCCACGTACATAAATAATTCGCTCCTTTGTATTTGCTATGGATTTTAATTTTAAGCATATTGAACTAAATATCCAGATTATTAAGACAACCGATGTTCCTCGTTCGTTAATATTGCTATTGTTTCAACGATTTAATTTCAATTACACTGATCTTGTTGATACATCATTTTTTCCCATGTGGAATCACAGAACAAGAGAGTGAGAGAGAACAAAGGATGACAATTCTTTTGTCGGGTCGTGTAATATGACATTTAGTTGAACAGCATCACGATTGTTGTTGTTACTCAGCAGCTGACCCGGGCAGCTGCACGAACGCGACGGTAAATTCCGAGTATAATTATTGCCAATCGAGGCCAGCGGCTCTCACCGATTTTCGCGCAGAAATTGCCTTCGGAGCCGGTTTCGGTCTCGTTTCACGAGAACGCGAATTCGATCGGTCGCCAATCGCGACGGCGATGCTCCAGAGGGGAAACGGAAAACAGAGGACAGGGGAGGGTAGAGCGGTACAAATTGACAATATATGACGCGGCGTTTCGGAATAAAGTCTAGAATTTGGCCATTTCATATCGACCATGTTTGTTTGCTTTATCTTTCTCGGTGCGAAATATTACTCGTCGGTCTTTCGCTCGAAAACCGACGGAGCTGCGGACAGTGTTTCAATCTTAATGTGTATTTTCTTTCCCCGTGTTTTATGCGCCGAACGTCTCTCTGCAAAACTATAAGCCTCGAGTCTTAACGACACGACCTTCTGGACATTTGATCTTGTCGGTCTTAATTGAAGGACACATTGAGACGAGCCTTGAATAACTAAAAAGAA